GCAAGTCAACGGACTTACAACGCAAAAATCCGAGGTTTGCTTCCTCGCGGAAAGGGAGGGCAAGGTGCAAATACTCCATTATGTAACTTTACATTTTTTAAAAAAAAAGTTGCCAAATTGCTATCATTTTGACAGAAAATAGTTCTGGTAATTTTCATTTTTGTAGAATTTGTTTCTACATTTTGTTATATATTTTTAGTGTAAGTAGCTTGTCCATATTAACACCCAAATATTCGAAAGAAGAGATCGAGTATTTCAACGGAAAAATAGATAAAAACACCTTAACATTTCTTACAACACTACTGTCTGTATCATACATAAACCTAATAGAAAGAGACTCGCTTTGACGTTTCTTTTTATAACTTCGCTTACAAACAAGCATGATAGACTTTAATAATGCAAATATCACAAACTTTCATAAGATAAAATATGAATGCATTACTATGAGCTGCGTTTTTCATTTAGACATTAGCATTGCTCTTTCACCAGGGGAGTTTTCACGTCGCGTGACGAGCGCGTGGCTCTTTAATCTGCAATTTTATTGAAAGTTCGTATTATGGTTTGACAATATAAAAATTCGAGTTAAGCGAGAGCAAGTTGAATTTCTTGAATAACTTGTGGATCTGTTACAGTGATACATTTATTATTGGGACATTTATTTGTAGATTTAGGCCCACCGTTAGACACATGAAATTTTGCACATGTTATAGATCTTGTAGTCGAAGAAAAAAAAATGTTTTGGTTGTCATTCAGTGGATTGAACTTTGCATTCGTATTCGAATAAAAAACGTTACAGCAGTATTTCTATTCAAACTTAGGGGTTAACCCACATGTTCTCGACAAACAAGTGGGGTACAACCTTGAATTCCGCTAATCTTTTCGCAGCATAGTTTAACCTAGGCTGTCTAATTTCACACCTGACTTGCTATCTGGATAGATCATCGATACCGTTTCGGATGGTTGTCCGGAATTTTGGTTGAATGTGGAGGTAGAAGTCAGAACTCTGATTTCCCTTTTCTTTTAATGGGGTTTACCCTGTAACATGACATTCTGATGAATCTAACATTAAAAAAAAATAGTTCTTGGGGCAGATTTTTCTTTTGCACTTATCCTGTAAAGCTCTTGGATCAAATTCGCTCTCATCAAGTTCAGTTACCAGTTTTCATTCCAGTGTCATTGTGAAAATACTTTTATATGCTAAATTTACCTGTTGACTTTGTCCATGAAGAAGTTTTTCTTTTATCCTAGTGAAACATGTGCGTCCAATCTCTACCTCTCTCATTTCTAGTTGAATAAGTCCGATTATTTCGCACTATGCAATCAAGTTCTTTGAAACACTTGTTTTGAAAGATTCTTAATTTACCTGTTTGATCCAGTAACTCCAGTTTTGGCTGAGAATACAAGAAATATCTATATCCTGTTACGACCTCTACAATAAACCAAAATATTAAGTGCAGCATTCTTTGTTCATCTATTTTAACGTGTTATTATCAAAGACATTTCCGGTATTAAGTTCTTCTTGAGGCTACTTTCTGTCCATTCAGCGTTTTGGGTAAAAGACTGTCTACTTAAGATATGAATTCCTGTTATGATATGTAACAAGAAAGTTTTTTTTTCTCAGACGTTTTCTTCGTAGAGGCGTAGCCTGTACACACTGTCAAGGTGAGCAATCACACAAGTATTTTAACATCAAAGCACCGCTTTCCAGCGTCACAAACCATGGAGCATTTTTTCTAACTATCTATGATTTGAGTTTGCAGAGGGGAAAAAAGGCTACATTTCAGAAGAAATGAAATATATTTCCTTCGCAAAGAGGGTTGTTCTGGATGAACTCGTGTGCGAGATCGTTGCAACTGTGTGCTCTGTCATGCACGAACCCCATCTCTGCCCTTGTTTCATAGCCACACAAAAACAGGGAAGATATGAGTGACAGTAACATATGAATAGCACAGCCACCACCCCACAAGCAGTTGTTTTTTTAAGACTTCCGCTCCTATCTGTATCATTTATCTCACTCATTACAAGATATAATATTAATTTGGAAACATTATTACTGAAAATCGAATCTCTTCTGTATTATATCAATCTCAAATCTATAGTTGGATGACGTTTCGGTCCCCTCATCTAATCTTTAGGTAGACACAGTGCATAAAAAATAAGCGTCAATACTATGACTAAATTCGTTTTGAAATAATATGAATCCTAAAGCTATCGAAACAAGAATTATTTTCTTAAAACCAAAATCCGTTTGAAGACCAACAAGTTACAACATTTAACATCATTTCCTGTACGAAAACACACACATAGGCAAAGACAAAGTGAGTACTTTTCAAATGGTTTAACTTTGAAGAGCCAGTCAGGAGTCTGTTCATGTACTCATCCTGTTCTAACTATAAATGATGCTTCATAAGAAATGGGTAGCATAGCTACACTGAGAAATAAAAATAGTTTATTTCAAATGTTGGCATTTCGAATACGTAAATGACTGTTGAGGATTTCGGTTTGATTTTTATCTGGAGACCTCAGCACATTTTTCCCGCGGTAATTTTTTCCTGCCTGTAAGAGTGAGGAGACACGCTACGCTCCTTGTTCACTTTTTAACTCGCCACTTGGGAACCTCTTAAAGTTACAAGTTTGCCCGAGAAGAATACAAGAGAACAGATTCGAATATAACAGGTGTTTGAAAGATTGCACGTCAACAGCGAATCGTAGCCTTCAATGGTGATGCGACTAAAACCTTTTATTAAAACACGAACCCATTTATTTTCACTTCATCGAGATTCGGTGTGTCGTCTTTAATCTCATTCCTCTTAGGTAGGTTTTGAAAATGGGAGAAGGCCGGTGGCAATTAGTAAGGAATGAAAGTTTTCATTCAAGTCGATCTATCACTGCTTTCAGTACAAAGCTATTCTGATAGCTATTTAAAAAAAAACTTTCGTGATTTATTATAATAGTAATAATAACATACCTTGCTACACTGTCAGTGAACGTCTCCAACATTTTTCTTTTTTCTTGACAGTTATGAACAGTTTAGCAGTTTAATTAGCTCTTAAATCAGAACAGTGTAAAATCGCACAAATTGTTGTTTTTCGCTTCTCAATAAACAAAATCCGTTAAATTCGTCTCGTTAGCCCATTAATATTTAGGCTAAGTTTCAAACAATTGAATTTCTTATACTTAATGTTAAGTTACATATAAAATAAAGTTTATTTTACATTCACTTATTTATTAAATTAAAAGGCAGCGTAATAGGCTTACTCAAATTATAGAACGCAACCACAAGGCTTGTTTTGCTTGTTGTTAAGCGCAAAGCTACACAGTGGGCTATCTGTGCCATGCCCACCATGGGTATTGAAACCCGGTTTGTAGTATCATAAGCCTTCAGACATACTGTTAAGCAATTGGGAGGTGCAACCACAAGGAGCCGAAACTTCGAACACATAGCCAGACGTTATTTTAACAAGTGTATTAGTAGAACAACAGCTTATCAGAAGTCTATTACAGATTATTCAACCACTATGTTATGTTGTTAACCAAATTACTTTTATAATTTTAATATTAATTAACAACGTGTTCAGTTGAGAAATTTTGGCAATATCATTATATGGAAAGTAACAGAACATTCTAGGGCCATTATTCTCTTGTATACCAAGTAAAAATTATAATCACATTCAACAACTAGAGGGCACTCAGTAGAACGCATACCGAGTTATAGAGCAAAAAGAATATGAAAAATCGGTCCCCATGTGAACAGATAGGAATTTTTTGGATTTTCGTGACCTTGACTTTTTACCTTAACCCTCCAAAAACTAATCACTTCTAAGTTGGGTCATAGTCCAAATGTATTCCAACTTTCGTCCAGATTCATTCAGCCGTTTTCTAGAAATATTGCTAACACACACTGGGGTGAAAACAACCTCCGTCAACTTCGGTAATTATTAACTATTGTAATGCTTATTGGGGAGATTTTATAATACATCAATCAAATTACCAGGAATATATCTACATTACAATATAAAGCGTTTTACAATTATGGCAGCAAAATAATAATCATATGAAATATCACTTCTTAACAATAAACCAGCAGGTTAGAATCACGCACTACTAGCAATAAATATGAAGAACCAGGATTTGGATGGAATTTTGCTAAGCCTATTTATGACACTGAAGTGCAGAAAAAAAAACACCCAAAATTAATGACACAATCGTATTTTTGCCAAGGTTCTCTCTTATATCTACTTCTTAATAGAAATAAGCCTATAATTCATACAAAATAAAAATAATCAATATATTAATCCAAAAGTTGAAGTTTCAACAACTCACTAAAACTAGTCAGTCAGAGCTGGAAAATTTTTAATTAATTAAAACTTGTTCAAAAAGTATGTCCATCCTTTTAATGAGCGCTAAAAAATATCTTTCGAAGCAGAAAATAATTAAGTTACCAAATTAAAAACGCACTATCCGCAAACCATATATAGTAAACAGAAGAAAAAAAATAATATCATAAAATGGATATTTTCATTACAGCCGTAATCTCACATGCACATCTACCTTTTGTTTTAGTGGGAAATTGAACACTGAAACATTGGTAGCGAAACTCCATTTGTAGCGTTATATTAAATATTAGGCATTACGTAATATAACATTAGGAGGTTATTTCTTCACAATTATAATACAATTAATCAATAATATAACGAGTATTTATGAATATGTTATCTGGCCGAAAAAAACTGATAAAAGCTATTTATACTTTAGAGAAAAATTATGTACACAAATGTTAAAAAAATACTGAAAAAGAGAAAATTATTTCTAAATGCAAACTCAATATATAAAATTAATCAGGACCACAATTAAAAGTATCTGCAGAAATTAGAAACATTGTCCTGATTTAATTTTGTTCTAAATTCAAATAAAAAAATATGTTTTTTATTACTGATACGTTTTTCACTTAAATAGATTTACAACACTTCCCACAAAAGACAAAAATGTAGAGGACTTACCTATACAGCACAGATCAATGAAAGTTTCAGCGTGGTTTCTTGCTACTTCAGACCCTCTAGCGAGAGAAAGCCTTTGAAAAATCGGTTCTATGAAATCATTGGGTACAACTGCAGAAATATCCCATTTTAGCCTACTCAGCACAAGAAGTTCCCAGTTCTGAAATAAACGATTTTCACTTTAAAAACTTTCTATATTTTTTCTACAATATTACAACAGATGAATTAACAATGTTATTTTGCAAAATTCATTTTCATCCAAATTAAGGCTTAACACAATTTAGGCACGATTTGTTATAAAAGAAAGAATTAAGAAAATTTTGTCTCATATTTGTAAGTTAACAAATAACGCTGCTCGTGCCTAGCATGAAAGTAATATAGTTAGAATAAACAACAAAATGCCCATCCCCCCCGTATAACCCGAAAACGTTTTTCAAATTTCAGCTTCTGTTCAACAGAAACGAAATGAGAAAAAAACTTTACTTGAATTTCTTTCCATGTTCTACAGTTTGATAAACGTTAAATACAGTCTTTCTTGCTAAATTACCGACCCCCCACCCAAAAAAAATCCACCAAAACTGCAGCAGAGGGCTTAATAATTTCAAAAGGAAACTTCATAAGAAATATATTAAACATTAGAATCACACTATTGAATAAAACACCGACTGGTCGCCATGATTCCCACCTAATATTATGTTGTATCACCTTCACCAAGATAACAGACTGGACTTGGTTTGATATAATGTCCTAAAGTACCGGAACACATTTTGCTCGACTGTACCTCATTCTCAAGGAGTAAAGGAGTACATACAGTCTGCAATTGTTTTACAGATTATGGCAGAGGAATGCGATGGCAAATGCAGACGTTCCAGTTGGTCCAAACGATGTTGAATCAGGTTGAGATCCGATGACTGTTTTGTCATTCTCTTCGAAGTAATTCTATGCAATACCAGCGTGGTGAATGGTGAATTGTATTGTCTTGGAAAAACTCTTGCCCTTACGGATGTAAATGGTGGACTCCAAGCGGCCAATCTGGATGTTATTCGCCCCAAATCCCAGCCACGAGAATGTTTCCCACACCATTACATCACTTCTAGCAACTTACAATGTTGTAATAACAGAAGCAGAGTTAAGTACCTTGCGCAGTTTTCTGCTGTTATACTCTCGGAAATGAAACGCGACCCACCAGACAACATTACACTTTCTATTTTGGCCCGGCATGGCCAGGTGGTTAGGGTGTTCGAGTCGCAATCTGCGGGTCGCGGGTTCGAATCCCCGTCTCACCAAACATGCTCGCCCTTTCAGCCGTGGGAGAGTTAAAATGTGACGACCAATCCCACTATTCGTTGGTAAAAGAGTAGCCCAAGAGTTGGCGGTGGGTGGTGATGACTAGCTGCCTTCCCTCGAGTCTAACACTGCTAAATTAGGGACGGCTAGTGCAGATAGCCCTCGTGTAGTTTTGCGCGAAATTCAATACAAACAAATAAGTCTATTTCGCGTAAATAAGTGAACATATATGGATTCTACAAATTTTTGTATGGGAATCCAGATAAAGAATATTTATTAGTATTTAAAAAACAAATGGCTCACAATACAATTGTAAACGTGTAATGTTTTGACGATATATATTTTAAAAGCGTTTAAAAGTGACTTAAAAAAAAAGACCCGATACAGACTTTAGAGAATTACCTCCTAATAACGGTAGAGAAAATGGGGAAATGTATATTAAACAATTTTAAATCTTTATTTCATTCCTACAGCCACGAAAGTGGTGTCAAGTTATGATACTGAGCATATCCAAACAAAATTCGTTAGTAATTCCTAATATGATTTTTATATTAGATAAAACTTTCAGTCTTCATTACGAACAATTTTTTCTACGAATCTATTTGATTTGAGAAAGTGAACACACACACACACACACACATCAACGTAAGACGTAAACCTTATTACATTGCACAACTCACAAAACAAACTGATCGACTGTGAATACATGATGATTGATTCACATGACTTAATTCTTAATGCATCGACTGACAAAGCATCTTTTTTGTGATATACTTACGCAAACACAGACCACATTGAAAACCATGGTTGGATTGTGTGAGTACCACCGTTAATACATAATTCTAAAGATAGGGTTGTCAAGCTTGCCAAAATAAGATCTCAATCAACAAAAGCTTCTGTAAACAAGGACGACTAGAGCAACATTCAAGTGTTAAAAACAAGATACATCAACTTGCTTACGATTAATTCTTCAAACATATTATGTTCTGTTAAAAATGTGAAGCAAGTATTAATACAAAATATCACATAAAATACGTATCTATTGGCTGTGTGAAACGCATGCTGATAAATAGTATTACAGTACAGCAGAACCTAACTGATGAATGAAGCATAACTTGATAGAGAATGCCACAGGAAACATTGAGCTATTAGATGAGTGAGGCCTATACTGACAGGGAATCAGTTTCTTTTCACTAAACAGTACTCACTCAAAATTAACATCCTAGCACCTAGTGATAATAAGAAAATAAAACCACATACTAAATGATAGGATGAAACCCTGCTCCTACTTATAAAAAAAAATAACACAGCATCCAATGGTAATGAAAATAACACCGAAAAAAGAATACCATAAACCGTACTAAAACAGAATATCAGAACATCTACTGGTAAGAAGAAAAAAAAGTAGCACCTAGTTATGAAGGGTAACATTAAAAGAAAGGATAAAAAAGCATAGCACATAGTTAATAATAACAAAACACAGCACATACTTACTAAGAAAAACAAAGCACCTACCGACAAGGAGAAAAAGCAAAAATCTAACATTCACTTATAAAAGTAATAACAACGAAACGAAGCGATAAAAAAAGCAACTCTGACGTACTTTTACAGTTTATATCATAATTATTGACAATGAAAGTTGGCTTTTCCAAAGTTCGGCAAGTACAGTTACTCCCATCCACTTTATTTTATCTTATCGAGTTATTTCTTTTAATTTGATAGTTATATATCTAGAGGCATATGATAGTGATCACTACAGAATAATTAATGGTCGTTTCTGGTTTGTGTCCCTTAAAAAAAAAAAAACTTAAGCCAGTTAGTGTATCACGATACGGAATGAAATGATTATACGCTTGAAATAATTCTCACTTGGGGTCGTCTTTTTGACAAAGTTCCGCAAAAAGAAGAAGAAAAGCATAGTACACTCCTGTATAAACATTTAGTTATCTTTTCTATTGCATTTTTCACTGAATGAATACGTTTATAATGCGATTTACCAATTTTTTATTTCTTGTGCTACTGTAAGCCATGGATGCCTTCCGGTGGTTCAACTGTAAGCTTGAGGAGTTATATTAGTAAAATTCGGGATTTGATCACTGCAGTGGGCACAGCTCAGATAACCCTTTGTGTAGCTTTATACTTAGAGAAATGTTAATTATAGTCTCCAACAGCCTTGGAAACACTGAATCCTCTGGACTAGAAATTCGGTTTGCGACGACGTTTCGGGTAACTTCCGTAACCAGTCTTGATACCTGAAACATTGTCATCCATTGGCTGTTGTTCACAGGAATCAGTGCTTCCAAAGCTGTTGGAGTCCATAATCAACATTTATCTCGTTACGAAAACACAGCCTAAATCATTTGTCAAAAGACCATCCTGTAATTTGACGAGTTGACCCTGACTGTAATAGGATTGAAAGCTCGTTATTTAAAATGATTTTAACGTGGCGTAAATCCTATTTTGCTACTGACGTTTCGAAAATGACATTCAATTATTACAGATTATAAGCCTAATTCTTACATAATTTTGATGTAAAATGTCAGTGGTCATTACGGTACCCTCGTTTCTTCTGGTATGGGTAAATTATGAATGGAAAATAATATGTTTATCATAAAGGAAAGAATATACAATTTTTTCTCGGAATAAACATGCAACGACAAGTAGACCTACGTTGTGCCTTATACAATAAGGCTATACAGAGTGCAGGAGATAAATTGGTATTTTAGTTCTCTATGTGGATTAAATACAAATTTATACATGTATTAAATTCACTTATTTAAACTTAAAATGAACTCAAGCCTCACCACTGCCAGTTCCCAAACTATTATTTTATATTTCAAATTAGTTTTCGTCCGCGAGTTTATCGAAGCATATTTTTAACGGCTAGTTTTTCGCCACCCAAAAAAAGAAATATTTGCTTTTGGTTAGAAATATCAAACGCTCTTAAGTCAGGTAATTCCGAAACGATATGGAACATACAAGGAAAAATTGCATAACTGTTTGTTTTTGTGTTTTGCTGCTGACTAAGAAGATTAACCTGCACAACCTCTACCAACATCAGTAAAAAAAAAAAATATTCCGATTTGGTTCTGGCAAATTAATTAACTTATAATGCTCAATTTTTGCTACAAAATTACAGTGTTTTAGCTCGTAGTTTTAAGCTATAACTTTGTATTTCACAAACGAACCGGCATCACCCGCAGTATAGTAATATCGCAAGAAAATTAAACTCTGTACTTGATTCAGTTCCTGACGAACACACTTATGACAAAGAGTTTAAAATATCAATGAATGAAGACAATGTCAGAAACGTTGACACATACGTTATATTATACAAAATGTCTGAAACAGGAACTTCAACGTCGAACATGTCTGATATAGAGGTACTGATATATAAACACAACTGACACAAAGGTTAGTCGAACATGGCTCATATAAAGGTACTGATATATAAACACAACTGATACAGAGGGTTAGTCGAACATGGCTCATATAGAGGTATTGATATATAAACACAACTGACACAAAGGTTAGTCGAACATGGCTCATATAAAGGTACTGATATATAAACACAACTGATACAGAGGGTTAGTCGAACATGGCTCATATAGAGGTATTGATATATAAACACAACTGACACAAAGGTTAGTCGAACATGGCTCATATAAAGGTACTGATATATAAACACAACTGATACAGAGGGTTAGTTGAACATGGCTCATATAAAGGTACTGATATATAAACACAACTGATACAGAGGGTTAGTCGAACATGGCTCATATAAAGGTACTGATATATAAAACACAACTGATACAGAGGGTTAGTCGAACATGGCTCATATAGAGGTATTGATATATCAACACAACTGATACAGAGGTTGTAATTTCCATTACATCTGATGCAGAGGTTTAAGTGAAAAATCGCTGGACGGAACAAGAGGAGCCTGTTAGTCTGTGGTAACGTCAGCGCATAAATTAGACACGTGCCTGCTTCACAGTGCAATATTTGTAGAGTTGTTACATGACGTATGATCTTGACTCGTGTACTCTTACACCTTCGGATTTCAGTGACTAAAAACATTGACCTTGAACGTCTGTCTACTTAACAAATAACATAAAAGCCCACGAAAGTTGTTTGTTTTCTAGCCTCGATACTTACGATACTGTTCGAGCTACTTTTGTTCAATCGAATAAAAATTAGCAAACCAGATTCTTTAGCCATTACTTTCAAATCTGTATTTATCACACGCTTTACGTGATGTAATAAAAGTCACCACAGCTATGAAAAACATCAACGCATTTTCGTAGGCGACAGTGTCACGACTACATGATTGTAGTTATGATAACGCTAATATTCCAGCCCATGCAGAAATTTGTTTAATATTAGTAAATTAACTGATTGTATGTTTTAATTTTAACGTTTTAACATAGTACGTCATGGGCAATCTTCACAGCAAAGACGTTAAAAAAATTTGCTATGTAATTCTGACAGTCATACATTTGTTTCTATGTTCCGTTAGCACTTTATTGATTCTGTAATTAAAAACTCACAATGATTTTAATAAACTCTTATTAAAGCTATCTGTGTTAATCTTAGGGTGGTGTGTTTTACTTTATATTTCACGTTGTTTAATAGCTATATACATGTCGTTGTTTTTATCATTTTTTTTTTTTACTGGTGAAGAAACTCAACCACTGACCACAAAATTTATAACGGTATTTATAAATAACGATCTTTGAATAAATACTTTGCTTGTGGCCACAATGTAGCGAGTTGGCTTAACACAGAGGAAGTGGTTAATCAACACTTTACACATCCATCGAGTCCGTGGCCTTTCTCACAGCGAAATTTTAATGTTAAAGGTCGTTGGTGGCAGCACATTTAAAGGCACTCACTCACCCTTATCTCATTAACCAAAACCAATTCTCTTTCATGCAGAGAAATGACAATGATGCGAGAAGCGAACCTTGGCAATAAAAGCACGTGGCGATTGTTCACCTAGTTATGTGTGTATATTTATTTATGTTATCACTTGTCACACGGTTGTTGGCGTTCAATTATCATATTCTTTTGTTTCCTAAACGACTAGCTGTGAAAATCGGAAACACCGAAGTAATTAGATCTGAAAAAAATTATATACGTACATATTATTTTAAAGATGCATCTAGACAGGATGCAGACTGCCATAATTTCCTCATTTACATTTAGCAACTTAAATATTTCGATGTTCCCTCTTATTCTACTTACTAATTTTATGTTGTCTGAAATTATTAGTTATTTATTGCTACTACACTAAAACACTAGTTAATACTACTCAAGAAAGAAAAAAAATACAAAGGTTCAAAAGCTGGTAAATCACAGTAAAAAAAATGCGACAAAAAAAACGCGGGACGGACTCATCTTCATTTATAATGTAAAATTTAAGACAGGAATAATTACTAATCACTACTGTTATATGGTAATATTAAATATGTTAGTTTTCACTCGTAGCGTGTAGTCACTGTTTTATAATACAGCAAACAAGCCATGCATACCACACGCACCTCACTCACGCGTTTTATTTCACAACACTTCTCCTAGAGAAACGAGTTCACACCAAAGTAAACACTAACCAGAAGTTCATCCAATGTGACCGAATTGTCCGTGTAAGCACAAAGTTTTTCTGATAAGATGGGCCGTGTTTGCCGCACCTTAGACGCCAAAAACAAACACACAGCTCCAACAAGTTGAAGTTGACTCTTTCGGATTTGTACAACACAAAGAAACCTGTCCAAACAGTTAATTGCTAGGGGGAAAACGTCTTTTTGGCACTGCTCATCTTCGCAAACCTTAAAACAAAATAAAGGGAAAAAAAGATAAGTAAAACTGTAATGTAATACAATAGTTATTAGATATTCGTAACAAAGTCAACAGTATAGCTATATACAATATTTATCAGTCAACAGTATAACTTACGTTCATGTTTAACCTTTTAAATCAATTTGACAAAACTTGTTTCTTTTTACTTAATATAAATAAACTCGATATTACTATCTTTAAGATATCGGGTTTATTGCTACGTTTGTGCACAGCAAGTAACTGACGTGATGATTTGTTCAACGGGTATAATTGTACAACGCAAGCTAAATTAATAAATAGGTTAATGACAGTTATATTATTTACCTACTTCAATTGTACTTCCATAAAAAGCAATAAGTACAATAATTTAACTGCATTAAATTGCGTCTTTAAAAAATAAACTTCGTAAAACAAGTCATTCCTTGCTTATGTAATCCGGAAACTCGGTGTTAGGTGTAAGTGCCTATAATACTAAAATTCGGGCTTAAGTCACATAGTCCATTGGGCTATACAAAATAAAAAAATTTGAATCATCCATACGTTTGCAAACCATGCTATAATTTGGTTAATATAAAATTTTAACATTAAAGAGTTTTGTGATATTTGTTTTTAAGGCCGTAAAGGTCGATATTAACCAGCTTACAGAACAGAGAATTGTAATTACACTTCATTACACGAAAAACTCGTAAGGGTTACAAAAGCTTTAAACCCGAATGAACTTTGTTGATAACATAATCCGTACATGTTCAAACATGGTTGCCACCCCTCATGTTTAGTAGTTTACTTTTCCAGAAAAACCAGGCGTAATTGTTTCGCTACACAGCACAACTCCTGTCTTGGTCTATGGATAAAAACTGTTGATAGTTTTACAGATCTAAAGTTTTTCTTTGATATATTGTTTAGGCAGAGTATTCATGATGACAGTTAGTTGAATGGACGGCTACTGCCTGTTGTAGAAACACAAGTGTAAAGGACGACTTTTTTCGAAAGTCTTCCGCCTTTAGTGTAATTTAGAAGTAGCTAGTTATACAAAAAAATCATTTTAGTCATTAAAATGAACATTTTACTAAATAGGACTGGTTGTCTTTTCACTTACCTTTAGTGTAATTTAGAAGTAGCTAGTTATACAAAAAATCATTTTAGTCATTAAAATGAACATTTTACTAAATAGGACTGGTTGTCTTTTCACTTGCTTTCGATTCATCATCGTCACCTCAATAGTTTTGTTATTTTTTCAAATTTTGAGGAAGTTGTAACTAATCTTAGATAAATATTTCGAATTTTGAAAACTGTTCGCAACTTTTGATGACTCTAAACTATACTCTGAGAATATTCATATATGTTTCATCTAGATCCTTCTTAACACCTGATCGTGGAGTAAAGTTTATTATTATCTAACACTACTCTTTCACAAACGTCGTTTACGTGTGTGTGTGTGTGTTGTGCGCGCACGCTTATAATTGGCGAACCGCTGAGCCGATTGTCACCAAACTTCGAGTGGATAATTCTGAAGGCCCTGTGAGTGATCTGCGCCATGTTTGGTCGCAATAGGTGTATGTTGCAATTTCGACCCCCCCCCCCCATGTCAGCCTCCGGGGCCGCTATGTCTTCTCCGTACGTTGAACGGGTGTGTCAACTAGTTGTTATTACTTAAGAATGTAATTACCAACAGTATTTATGCTCACGAAGACTTTTCGTGTCTTTGCTAAACAATAGTACTGGAGTCTACCACTAGTTGGCTGGCTATCCACAAGAACAAAACATCACGTCAACAAGACCGGGTTATCGTCAAGTGTGGTTCGCCACACATTTAGTGAGCATAATGTCGAAATTCATAACTTTACCATAATAATTAGGGCTAAAGATTAATTATAAGTTCGTACTCGAAACAACTTTAGAATTATTGATCTAAATTCGGCTTTTAATTACCAAAATTCAGCTTATTCTCTTCTTCTTAGATTGTGAATTTGTAATTAAATTTTTATCTTTTCCTAAAATTTCACATCTTATTTTACAAACGTAGTAATCCTTTAGAGCATCCAAAACATTTGATATGCATTACATTAAATTAAAAAAACACACACACGAAAAACAAACAGGATAATAAGTATGAGATTATTATTTTATCGTTGGTCATACCCGTAACTAGACGCTTCCTCCTGCCAGAATTCCATTCCAACTTCAACGAGGTCCAAAACAAAGCATTTTTACCAAATGAATTAATAGGTTAACCTACGAGTTTATAATGGTAAACTCGTTTTAAACTATTCAAACTATCCGGCTTACAAAATACCAATTACCATGACAAATTAGAAAACAAAACTAAACGTGCAACCTTGTGGAGGTAAAATATAATTTTATTACGATAATCAGGATAATCCATTTCAGTACAAAGTTGGTGGAAGTATATACGTATGTGTACGGTTAATTATTATAATATCCTTAACTGAGTTCCATCTTTCACAAATGCAACTGAAAATTGATAAAAAAAATTTACAATTTTGCAAAATGGATAGCAATTGGATCTCGACTTAGTTACCTCATTTACAAATACAATTAAAAATGTAGAATTATTTTTGTTAATGTATACAATTATATATATATATATATATATTTCAATCGTATTTTTAGTCAATCCACTATAAAACTGCCTTTTTTCAGTTCCAGTATATGGCTGGGAAGAAATGTCCCATTTCTAGTAATAACAACTTATTGGCTCAACCAACCAGGAGTGTAGGATGGGGGTGCTAATCTTGGAGCAGTCAAACATTATTTTTTTTCCAATAAGTTGTATTTGAATACATTATTTATAATATATGATTGAGGGAAAGAGGAGGGGGGCTCACTCCCCTTGCCTATGCGCATATCAACCTCTTATTTGTTTAAAGTGTCCGCAAACTGTTTTATACTAACCTTATTAGCATATGTTCAACTCTTGTAAAGTATGGTGGTTTTTTTTTGTAGTTTATACAGTCTATAAACATATGCTTAGTGCTCTACATTCCACAAATCCCGAATGTTTAGCAATGGATATTTTTGAAAATGTTAACTTCTTTTTGGTTTATACAGTCTATAAACCTATGCTTAGTGCTCAACATTCCACTAATCCCGAATGTTTAGCATTGGATATTTATGAAATTGTTAACTTCTTTTTGGTTTATACAGTCTATAAACATTTGCTTAGTGCTCTACATTCCACTAATCCCGAATATTTAACATTAGATATTTTTAAAAATTTTAATTTTTTTTATCCGACATTACAATTAAAACTGCCATGAAAAGGCAAACCCTCACGTTCGGAATGAAACAAAAAAATTGAGGGTGTCCCGTAAGTCACTTACTATTGTAACAATGAGAAAATTAACATTGTTTTTCTTACATATTTGCATATTCTGTAAACGTAAACACTCTACCTATGACAATAACTTTTGAACACCTTGCAAATCTCTTACTATATCACTAACTATTATTACTAATTTACTATTAGTATCAATAATAATATTAGTTAGCGCTGAAAAGTAGCAGAACGTCAAGGATGAGCGAGACTTTTCAGGACATACTTAAATCAAGTTGGTAACATTACCTCCCACATCCAAGTTGTAACTATCTTTCTCATGTAGAGCTTGAGTTCCTTTTGGAAGCAACCGAAATAGGACGAAGTAACGGTGTATCTATCTTCTAACCGAAGTGCATTTTGTAGTGTCTTGTCCGAACACAAAACTGGATCTTGATAGGCTTTTGTTTCGATCTTTCCTTCACAACACATAAGATCCATTTCTTTTCGTTTTGTAGGAAATCTCGTAATTCTGTTGCACAATGTCAACCTTGAACTGCCACGTTCACTTGCTTCATCTTCTCGAGTCCTCAACACTCACAAGAACGTCACAACAGGTACTGTGATCTATACTACTGATGTACCACTTGTTATAAATTGCGCTGTTGCGGTAAGCTTAACACTAGACTACAACTAGCAATCCTTTTTCATGGGGAATAGTACAAATGCTAGCTAATACTAAGCCTATTCTGTATTAACTTAAGTTCGCGTGAGAAGTTCTGCTTCTGCAATTGAATCAAGTTTTAAAAATGTGATCTTGGGTTATGACCTTCGAACCACTGCAGCAAATTATAACAAAACGGAGCCTAACGTCTTACTTCATCGATATACCGTATCCCTCTACCTCATTGGTGAGACTACAGTAACTCTACCAGCTGATTCCAACAAATATATCTTACGCCTGCGCAGTAACTGAGCCCGCCCACTACTCCTTTATTTGCCCGGTGGTTTGTCTATCACTATTTATTAACAAGTGTCCAATAACGAAACGCTTACTGTACTAGTGCATAGCACGTGATGCAGAAGTTATCCCGCAGGCATTAGCCTAAGATCTCGTTTCTCTAAAACTTTAGAAGTTATAGTATTGGTACAAAAAAAAAAAAAGAATCACTACCGGTGCTAATGTACTGTATTTCTGGATCGGGAAATACATGGTAACGACACTCTCTCGTTCTTGGGCAACTACACTAAATAAACGTTTAAAGCAACAAAATATATATATATCAAACATTGTAAGAATTTAAGTCTCCAGTTTTACTGCTTTATAAACGTTTATTGACAAATGTGTCAATATCTCAGTACGTTAAGGAAGTCTAACGAAATGGAAATGTTAATATCGCTAGGAGAAAAATAACCAGTAGACAATTTAAACTGGAACATAAATACAGATTTACTGAACAAACGGGTTCATCAAAGAAGTGTTTTGTAATAGTTCGCCATCTTTACGGTTAAAGGATTTTCCTTATCACATGATAGTTCCGCACTTTTCGAAATTAGAACCATAAGAAGAACCAGTAATAACTAATCGGTTATCAGCCTGAAGAAAGACTGGTGAACTCCACAGTCCACACTCTGATGATCAAGGCAATTTGGTGAACCTGTTTGCCAAATAAAGCAAGTAGTTACATGAACCCCGAGGATAGAGTATTAACTTAGCTCGTGCACTTGCTGTAGCAAACATAACAAACAGGTCACTGTTTTGTTCATTTGGAAAATAAATCATCCACAGATCTAGCTTTACATCTAAATACTATTGAAACATAATATACTAAAAATATTATTCTGAGAAAAAATCTGAGAGACAACTGAAATGGTTTGATAACTTTGGTGGGATAATGTGAAATGTTAATTTGTGTAGTAAGTTTGTTTCTTTGTTGTTAAGTGCAAAGCTACACAATGGGTTATCTACGCTGTACCCACTGTGCATTATTGAACCCCAATTTTTTGCCTCCAAGCTTACACTGAGCCACGGGGGACTTCGTTCGATTTCGCGCAAAGTTACGCAAGATGTACCTACGATAAACTTCTTTTTGTCTACTTTTAACAGTTCGAATAGTGAGATTTGACTTTCACTCCTATAACGCATTCATAACCCCTAAGTGCGGCGCGCGGTGGCCTGGGGGAGGAGGCTTTGTAATAAGAGAAAGGATTAGGCCTACTTGTCAATAAACTTAAGCCTCATACTCTACAAAATTTATACAGCTAGAGTAAAACTTAATAACATTTTTATAAATATAAATTATTTACATTTAGCGCTATTCTATAGAGATATAAGTAGTTTTGTTTTAACCCTTGCAAAACAATCATCACTAGGGCAGCTATGTCCACGATTCGGTACAAAATGCTATTCAATCGTGAATAAGTAATTCAATTCATACGTGGTTGTAAAATATCTTTACATGAAAATGGGAAATAGAAAACATTAGTTAGCCATGTGATAAACGAAATATGTATTACAAGAAGGTAATTTGTTTATAATATTTTTCACAAAAAAATTAGTTTCTCTAAACTTGTTTTTATGTTTATCAATTATTTGTTTTCATTCAAAGTGGATTTGTGAGTAATTTCAGAACGCATTCCAGCTGAATCATGAACCACTATAGTGGTTCATAATAGGGATCGCCCAGGAATTTCACAAAAATTATAATAGAATATACGAGCAAAAAAACATTTTAAAAAACAAACTTGTTCTTGAAACAACACTCAAGACCTTCTATCTCAATGGCTAAGGCCGCTAAAGTATTGATAATAACAACAAAATAAAAGTTGATTTTCCGATTGTTAAACAAAATTCATCCATCTATTTTCATATCATTATTATTCATATTATTCTTGTTTCATAAGACGAGAAAAAAACGCCTGTAAATATTTTATTAAAGCATAGACAAACGTACTAAAAAACTCCTGCGCAGGTCATAGGACTATTTTTATGTTGATTCTTGAACAAATAGGAGAGATTTATAGCAAAAACGGCTAGTTATACTGCGCCAATATCTATGCACAGCTATTAAACAAACCCTTACGAAGGGCTATTTTAAAGTTGTTTCTTGAAAGTCGAGATTTCTACTCTCTAAAATTTTCAAGTTCTTCGAAACCTTTCAAGCATCGCAGAAATGTATAATCCACTTAAGCACCGTTATACTAGTCGGAAATGCTCTATTTTATACAAATCGAAATGCTTTGTTTTATTAGAGTAAAGAATGTGCATATTTATAACACCGTCTCCAGCCTTATTATTGTTGATTATAGTTTTACAAACCGCTACAAAAGAAAAAAAAAAAAACCTGCTACGAATATTGAAAAAAATCCAGTGTTTTACTAATGCGCATTAATTGGAAAAATAATTTATGCAACTTATAGCGCATTAATTGGAAACTGACACGTTCAGGATTCATCATTTCTCGAGTTTGCTTTTGTACTTTGTTTCTACATGGTTTTCTGTGTTTATTTCACTGAGTTTTCTAAAAGTAGATGATTACCATAGTAGATTTCTCTACTCTTGTGAGTGGTGACTTATTCTACTGATTTCCGTACTTTGCTGAAATTGTGAGTGCGTATTTTAGTATTATTTTATTATTATTATTCATATTTTTGTTTCACAAGTCTACAGCAACATCAGCAGGGTATTTTGCACCAAAACCCAGACAGCTATACTATGTGAAACGCTACGAATGTCCATGACCTATTTAAAAAGTTGATTAACGTGGCTATAAATACGTAATACATGCGATATTGTTGTGAGCGGCTTAATTTGTAATCGACGTTTGTTAAACGCGTGCTCACACGAAACTTCAGGCACAAACCCACTTGGCTCAGTAAATAATGGTTGGGTGGAAAAAAGCCAATGCATCGGTGAACTATTGAAAAACATGTAACATTCAAATGGATGTATATACACTTATATAGCTTAAAATGTTTTCTCCATAAATGGACATACGAAAAACTTGAGAAACAAGATAATTAAAATTGTTAATTTAAAAGGGGGAATGGGGATCATCAAAAATGTCCATAAACAAGTTGAATCAAAATGCATAGATTATATTTTCAAGCCTGCAACTAGGGACTGACTCTAAGACTCTTAAAAGAGTAAATAAACCAGGCTGGAAATAGTGTCTACGTTACTTTCTCAAGCTACAAATCCCTGTTCTGACTCCACAAAAATTGATAATTACTGTAGACATGGAGTCAAATTAGGAACTTGTAGCTTGATAAAATAATGTAGACATTATTTCCAGTCCAGTTTGTTTACTTTTTTTAGAATCCCTAGCTGAAGGCTTGAAAATATAATCTTTGCATTTTGATTCAACTTATTTATGCACTTTTGACGATTTTTAACGATTAACAATTTTTAATTATCTTGTTGTAATATGCTTTAGTAAAGACAATGCGGTCAAAATTAATTTGAAATGATGATATACATGAAAGTTGACAATTTACAGTATAGGAGCTGATAAAAAAAGACTAAAACTTAGTGATTAGTTTGCACTAAATCTTGAGTTTAGTACCTTTGATATCAACAATGTTTTCGACTTTCCAGTCGTAATGGCAACAATATATTTCTTGATATGAATAACACAGGCAGTTAAGTTTAAATATGAAATTTACACACTAATCTAACACAGCAGCGTGATCTGTATAGAAGTGGTGATGTCAAACGGAGTAATAAACCAGCTGTCCATTATTTATATGCACACAAGTTTAATGTTACTTGTTAGCTTTCTTACTTTTTCAACAAAAAAGAACATATCCTAAAATTAATAAACAAGAACTATCAGAATACATGTTACTAGCTAAGTGTCAGCGATTAATACGTCTGTCGTTTCAAGCATTTTAAGCTAAATACTTATAACTTTTAAAGTCATAAAAATAGGATCACCACGATAAAACAAAACAACATGATTAATCTCCAGACGTTTCGATAAAACAAAACAACGTGGTTGATCTTTAAGCGTTTCGGTAAAACAAAACAACATGGTTAATCTTCAGACGTTTCGGTAAAACAAAACAACATGGTTAACCTTCAGACGTTTCGATAAAACAAAACAACGTGGTTACTCTTCAGACGTTTCGGAATTTACACATTCCGTCATCGGTGATCTAAATTTCACAGAATATACATATGTAGTATGTATATATAACAACAAACACTATATACGTTTTAATATAGAGATCAGATGGGAAGAAATAAGAAAATTAAACAAGAATGAAGAATTTTTTTTTTTAAATGTGTATTTGGAAACAAGAAGAGCTGAAAGGAACTGAAGTTATTACTTAGATCGCTGTTGATAGAATGTGAAACTTCTGACGATTAAACTTGTTAATTAGACTTCGTTTTCCGCCTAACGAATCTATTCCTGGTGATATCTTTGACAAACAAAGATTGTCCTAGACGTTATGATATGTACATAATCATATAGGACATGTTACTGATGTCATGTGACTCGTGCAGAATTTAGCCCTTTTATGATAATGTCCTCCACTACAAGGATTAAATAAAAATTACACATATACTAATCTCAAAACAAGTTAACTGAAAAAAAAAAACCTTATCAACCTAACAATCTATGTTAACGATTTTGTAGACTTAAATAATTTCGTTAAACGTTTATAACAACTAACCCATCCGTTAAACATCTAGAAATATTGCCCTCAACCTGCAAATTAGTACCGCAATCTGGGGATGTTGTTTTCAGCTCAATATAATGTCAGGTTATGCAATATGCTTTGTGGCGCTACACTAGCAGCCTTTGTTCCATAGCAAGCGTCACACACGAGTATGTAACTTCCTTCAACAAATAACGGTCATGCGCACAAACGTTTTGGATAATAATGTTGCTGAGCCTGATATACTTATAAATATATAT